CATTGGGGAGAGTCGGCGGGATGATGTAGATTTCCTTCAACAATTCGATCATTTGCATGCCATGTTAAGTTCTTTGCATCACTTGGATTTGTAAAAAGGCTATATATGTATATGGGTTCCCTGGTACAAAAAAGGCTGACAACCTTTTGTTTTCTTTAAAACTTTCAAAAATAATTAGCCCATATATGTAATAACACTCAGCGCATCTAAATTATAGGATAAAACAAGTAAAACCTGCATAAAACCCCTTAAGTCACGTATGAAAAGATGTAAAACCCAACGTAGACAATCAAGTTTTCTCGCTTAACCTCAAGTCACTAAACATCGCTATTCAGTCTCCTCAGTTTCTTCATCTTCTTAAACAGCCTCACTTTCCTCACAGCTCTAAATAAGGTATGTGTTCTTTTTATGCAGTCCTCTTCATCCAATATTTTAGACTCATATAGACATATAGTCTTATACTCATACTACACTAGTATCTAAGTACTATTGTCTAAATATGTAATAAACTAATAATACTAGTATACCACTTATTGAGTTATTGGTATATAAGTATATTAGTAGCATACTATGTGCATATACTAATTGTAATATAGTAGTAGTACACTGTAATGTGTATATAATACTCTGCTTTATGCTTTTCCAAAGATGTAATCCCAGGTTTTCATATTTTCATCACAAGTCACACCAAACACACAAACATTTATCAATTTTTTATCTTAAATTTCTGATTTTATGTCACTAGTAACTAGATAGTATGGTACGTTTGAAAAACTGTCTCATTATTCTAAAGAAACCTACTTGCCAAACTTACAAAACTTTATTAGTATTCAGCTTATAAGTTAATATAATTGTAAATATTTTATCTTATTAAATCTTATTAAGTCCTGTAAAAGATTATCAAATCTTATTTTGTAAAGGCCGCAAGAGATTTTATCTTATTAAGTCCTGTAAGTTTCCTCAATAGCATCACTAATTTCTTAATAATTGTGAAATCTTGCAAACATTTCATCTTTCTCAAGCAATAATTAAAGAAAACCTAAACTAAAATACAGGTTTCATAATAAAATAAATAATACTAGCAATAAAAAAAATGAAATGCTTATATAATACATGCTCCATTCTAACAGTTTTCATTAAAAGGCCCGCAGAAATGCAGATTAAAAAGAAAACATATACAATCAAAAAACTAAGCACAAAATTCACTTAACAAGTAAACTAGCCTAGACCGGCTGGTTCACTTAAATTAGATGCCTTGCTGAAGGAGAGTGTTTCAATTCAGTCTCTAAAGCCGATCCAGAAGCATGGTAATGGATGAGCCATTTTGTATTTCACAAAAAGCCAAGTCCTACATCTTTAACATTAAGGAGTAACTACTAGAAACTTTAGAAGTCAACAACACAACTCATCCTAAGATGGAAAGAGTGCAAACATCAGTGTAAAATAATCTCCCTGCAACTTTAATACTGATAATGTGTCGTCATTCCGCCCCAATCTAGAAGAAATTAACAAGTGAACAACTACCTCTGGTTTGTCTAAAATCAGTGATGAAATCTTTGCAAGATTCACTTAACAAATGAACAACTAAAAAAGAAATTACCTGGCAGTGGTGAGTAGCAGAAGGTAGAAGCCGCCGTTTAAGAAGCGTACAGTTTGTTCTGCCCCAAACTTTGCCTGCTTGCCGCCGATTCAATTCAGTAGTGTTGCAGGCTCGCAACACTCCTCTCGTCCTCGACTCCTCTTGTTGGGGAAGACGAAGCCCAATCCATTCAATCGCGACTCGCAGCCCAAATACCTCCCCTGTTGAGAAAAATTACAAGATAAAAATGTAATCCTATACCTGCCTTTTTTCTATCTTAAAAAATGGGATCTGTTAGTGAAAAGATTGACATTCTAAAAAGCACTTATGGTTTATGTATTCGTTTTTTTATAATTTTTTGTCAAAACAAATACATAAGGATCAAGATCTCGTGATAATAAATCATTAGACTCCTGGAAATCTCTAAATAAATTTTCAATGACACCCTTCGCAAAAATACAGAATGTCTGAAGTGTTCCATTAAGTGATATTATAATATTTATAGCAACAGAAGAGTCCATGTCCTTTTAATGTTCATTCACAACAATACGAAAATTCATATAGCAGTTGAAACCACGATGACATTCGACAACCTTTTCTGAACCAAAACTTGGTAATCATAAAAAGTTTATCCATGCTACATTGCTACTTTCAATGGAAGAAAGTAATTCAAAGTATTTGATTTAAACTACATCTGAAGTGAAACCGCATTGGTACTCAAGGCCCATTTAATGCTACATAAAATGTGATTGAAATTATAGCTTAGAGAACATAAAGATGCGCTCACTGAAAATAAAAGAAACCTGAATTTCTGAAAGATGTTCTAGAAGATCAAATAGCATTTTGATTCATGAATGGTAAAAGTAAGTTTTGAACTTGGAATCAATTCCAACTAAGTAATTGACTTACAATTTTATAAAATCCAGATCAATAAACAAAATAAGACAAAATTGATCTTTTTAATTTTCATAATGAGCAAGTAAAGACTAGAAAGTTTCTTAAAAGGAAGGTTAAATCATTTGAAGGAAACAAAAGATATTTAAGGTATTACGAAAATTAGGTATTACGAATTCAACTACTAAGGAGGTTTTACTCACGAGGTACAATTCAATGTATTACGAACTCACCTATTACCATTATGAAGCATTTATAATTAACAATTCATGAGGAAGACGACTGCCATTATCAAAGTAATAACACATTAAGGTCACTTACCTGAGCTTCATTTTCCCGTCAGTTTTTGTAAACTTTTTATTTAGCTTATAGATCCCCTCATTTTAGCAATGCGAGACCAACACCCGTACGTAGTATATTGTGTGAATCTCAAAATCTAATCGATAGAATGAGTACGTTCTCTTTGATATTAAACCAAATAAAACTTCTTTTTTAATCGATTTAAGTTGAGATGGACTAACAAAACATATGGCTAAAAACCAAGGAAAATTATGTGACACCTTAAAGCATCATACCTTTTTATGTTGATGGCCGGTTGAAATATTACAATTGAGCAATTTACATATTTATAAATATATGCGGTGTTCAGACCATTAAAGTTTATTTTGCGTATGATACCCTAACTTATTCGTGAGATATAAAAGTTATCGCTGGCAGCTTTCCCTGGGGTAGCCATGACAGTAAAACCTTGACCCCTTCCATCTCTTTTCTCAATCTATTATCTTTTTCTCAACAAAAAATTATTCAGCTAGTGTTTTGCAATTAGTTATGTACTATTATATGCATATTCCATCATGTTGATGTTCAAAGGTTATGTCTTCCTCGTCGGTGTAACCGATTGAGTGATGATTAATGGCAAAGCTTGTTCATCATTTTTTCCTAGGGAGTTGACCCCCGATATTAGTGGCCATGAGGCCTCACTTATTAGCCCTCCTCTTAACCACCGTCATACTACGTGATAAAAATATCGCTCAAATGGATCTCCATGTCAATGACAAATCAAATCTATCTCTCTATCAATAGCTAAAATGTATGATCATATGGCTACTAAAGATGCATATTTTATTTTGGGAATACTAAACATACATAAACTATTGTTTCATTTCATTGGCTTATTCATTCATTAATTTATTTTAAAAACTTATATGTGCAATGCCATTCTCACCAAAGTCATATAAACCTTAGTGCTTAGTGGTTTGAGGAATATGGAAGATTGGGAGGTTGCAACTTCCTACTCACATGCAAAAATAAAAGAATTTCGCTAAAGGTACACCCAGGGGTACATCCTATAATACCCCAATTTTACTTTCCTCCCTCTCCACTTTTTTCACTCCCCTTTCCCCTCTTGCATCATACGAAACCCCCCCTCTCCTTGTTTCTTTCTTTCTCCTCCTCTCCTCCTTTTTCTTTCTTTTTACCTTTTATTCACCATCACATTCCATCATTATTTTCATCATCATCTTCCATCACCATTTTCACCGAAAATTTGTTGTTTGAGAATGACCGAAAACTTACTGGAAAGTCACCGGAAAACTAGAGCCTCCTGAATTTTTGTCTGTATGATGCAAAATAATGATAAATATTGTCGATGATGAAAGTTGAAACTAAAAAACTAGTAGCATATTATAAACTATCACCATTGACAAAATATATATGTACACAGACACCGGTTTTCTTTCAGTGTCTTGTACACAAACAAACAATGTTTAAAAATCCAGGGCTAAATTGCACTGAAACAAATGTGTATGTGTACCTAGACAAAAATTGTATATGTACAAACATTTTTTTGTCTATACAGACAACTAACAACTAATGTCTGTGTACACTGAAATTGATTTTCGTGCAATCACCGTGATAGATGTGCAAAAAAGTACATCAATCAGTGTGTGAATCACACTGATTGATGTACTTTTTTTGATCACACAAACATTTTTTTTCTTTCAAAAATGTTACTCCCTCTGTTCCTAAATAAACTTCCAACTTTCCTTTTTCGTCCGTTCCAATTAAAATTTCCACTTTCCCCTTTTGGTAAAGAATTTGTGGTTCACAACATTTCTTACACATTTGTCTCTCCTCTGCACAACTCTCCACCATACAATATCCACTATCTTAAACTTTGTGCCAAACTCATTTGGAAGTTAAAATGGGAATGTAGGTAGTATTTTATTTGTGAGGTAAGAGTCAGTTTGGTTCTCGAAGTTGCATAAAAGGGATCAAATAAGTCCTTATAACGTCATTACTGTCCGGGAGTCATCATTTGGAGCGGTTCCCAGTGGAGTTTTTTGATAAACTTTTTTTAACATCTTATTCATTAAGTCTAGTTTACTCATACCAAATTTCAGATAAAACTTAAATCGGGAAGACATTCAAATGAAGTCTTAAAGATAACTGCGCAGTTTAAAAGCGCAGTTATCTTCAAGACTTCATTTGAATGCCTTCCCGATTTAAGTTTTGGCTGTCATTTGGTATGAGTAAGCTAGACTTAATGAATAAGATGCTCGAATAATTTCATCAAAAAATTCCTCCGGGAACTGCCCCAAATGGCGACGGCCGGACGGTAAAAACGTTATAAGGACTTATTTTACCTCTTATAACTCTAACTCTTGAAAGTTAAAACCGGCCGGTCTCTCTGTCATCAACAACGCATGCCCAACCAGGGTTCAGTTGTCATACGCACCTCCTCCGGTCGTCCCGAGCACTAGCGCGAATCTAGACCACGATGCAACCTTCATCGCAATCTCCGTACTACTACCAGCACGCGCAATCGCAGGGCGCTGGTCCTCCGCCGTCCCAGGTGAATCAACAGCCACCGCCTTACAACTCCGTTGCGGCTGCTCAACCTCCTAGCGCGGATGAGATCCGCAGCATCCGGATCGGTGATCTGCAGCCTTGGATGGATGAGGATTACCTGACGAGATGCTTTTATGGTACAGGAGAGGTATGCCATTTACGAACAACCAAGCATGTTTCCTCTAGTTCTCAATCTATAATTGTATTTTTTGGTAGTTATTTCCCCAAATATATTAGGGTTGCTATATTTTATCAAAAAAGGTTGTGCTTTTATTAGTTTATGATGTTTATTATTCAGCGCATGCTTGTTATTTGAGGAATGTAACTTAGATTAAAAGTACTCCGTATCTTGCTTGGAAAGAGCACAATCTTCCGGGCATTTTGGGAGTGTGTACTCGATACATTTATTGTCCAGTCATCATCTATTCTTTTATTATAATTTTAATGTGCATTTGGTGGTTTGATACATTTTGAGTCATCATCTAATTCTAGGTTGTCTCTGTGAAAGTTATTCGCAACAAGCAAACTTCACAATCCGAGGGGTATGGCTTTATTGAGTTTAGCAGTCAAGCAGCTGCGGAAAAGAATCTACAAGCATACCATGGCACACCAATGCCTAATGCTCAACAGAACTTTCAACTTAACTGGGCTTCTCTAGGTTCAGGAGAAAAGCGTTCAGATTCTTCTCTTTTCAGATAATTATCTATCTGCTTTCTCATGGTCACAGACATTAATACTATGTTTAATCGACTATTTGCATCCAATTTCAGATATTGAAGAGGATATCAAGGCTCTCCAGCTCGATTCATTTGGTATATCTTCATCACTAAGACCATCTGTCTACTTTGTATCTAATAGCGAATAGAGAATACTTACAGTTCTAAGTGTTTTGAGGACATGGTTATTTGATTCAACTGTAAACAGACACACACTTCTTTCATATTAGACAGATTTCAAAGAGTGTACTTCTTAACGTGTGTTTGTTTTGTACGTTTTCCATGTGGCTTCTTTGGAGCAGAAGATAGTCATATAGCCAGTGCAGATGACGCAAAACCTGATGAAGTTCCAAAGTCTGATGACACATGCAAAACAGGTATTGCTAACAGTGTTTTGGTCGATCAACTATGCTTGCCAAATACTCCTTATGTTTTATGTTTTTTTTATCCTTTTGAGGTAGTTTAGTGCAGTTACAAACTTATAATGATGTGATTAATTGTGACCTTAGTACCTTTACATTGTCTTGATGAATATCTTTTCCAAAACTTTCTTTCAAATCAAATTATCAGTAAAGAAACTTTCTTTCACACCAATTTATCAGCAAAAAACTCTTTCACATTAAAATAGCATTAAAAAACTTTCATTCACATTAAACTGTCAGTAAACAGGAACACATTATTTCTATTATTATTGTCAAAATGATAGTACTGTGTGCAGTTTTGCTTGCTCTTTTGCATGCTCTAGGTTAATAGTCTTAAGACTGGAATCTAAGAAACTGCTTAACTATACCTATGAATATGAAGTGAAATGGTAAAGCCAGTTACAGAAAAGCTCATGAGAGAAATAAGTAGTGACACTCGGTGAGCATTTTATAGAAATATATTAATACAAGACATGGCTCTCATAAAGTCTTCTGTATGTGGTACTATTGGAGAGATAGGTGGGGACTAGGATACTTATAAAGGGAAAATATGATTTTTGTCAGATCAAAAGTTAAAAACTGGTTCCACTTTCTGCTAAATAAAGAAAAAACAAAAAAGCAAGCTCCCTACTTGATGTAGTGTGCTAAGTGCTAACTGCTAAGCACTCCGTTCTTATAAGCTCCAACTTCTAAGAGGAACTTGAATCTGATATGCCATATTCAATTTTTCAAGACTCTTATATATTCATTCATGCAAATTAGATGCTTTTGGTTATTTGGAAAAAAATGAAGAGATAAATACTTAATAATTTGCTTTTGCTTATAGGCCACACCCCACTCCCCTCCAGAGGAACCCATACAATCAAATACCTCTAACAGTCAACTTCTCTTCAAAGTCTAATCTTTGTATTTGCATTGATATTTTCAAACTAGTCTATAGTTTCTGGCTTTAATGTTTTCTAGAAGATGATGAAAGCTTTGTAGAAGAAGCATTGCTCCAAATATCATAATGAAATTATTTTTCCATCCACACTAAGCGTGTTGTAACTTTTTTTGCTACAGAAGTTGAAATAAAGCCACAAGAGAACTCTGTTCCGAAGTATATTGAGCCCGAAGGCAGTCAAGGCACTACAGAAGGTCTGCAGTTGATTAGTTCCTTTGGTAACTGTGTATCTATTTATATCTATGCTCTTGTTTGTCAGAGTGTTTCCTGCATTGTTAATTGCTATGGTGTGGAAATGTAATCATTCTCTCTACACATCTATTATCCATAAATAACTTTGATACAATCACTTATTTAATATAGAGTACTTAGTTGGCTAGGCAAAGTATTTATTTACAAAAATGGAATCATTGATATAAGTTGTTACCCTTGAGCGCTTCTTATTTCATTATTCACAAAGATCCCACACAATGTGGTGTCTTCCTTTCACTTTCCTCATTTGGTTTACACCCCACTCAATGGAATTAACACCTGCTGAGGCAAAAGTCAGTACTATATTGTTTCAACATGTATCAAATATCAATCTCTTCTAGCATTAAATATTTACTCGTTTTTATGATGAGAAATTTTATGTGCTCATACAGTTTTGTATTCCTTACAGAAAAAGAAAAGAAAACCCCAGCTCAAGATGATGAAGCAGAAATCCACAAAAAACGACATCTGAATGTTGTGTTCATAGGACATGTGGGTATGGAATTGTTTCCTATGTGCGTGTGTTGAAAATCTTGCGCATTATCAATTTATCTATATTTTCATGCCACTTTATTGAAACGGGCATCTTTCACATGGTAAATGTGATTGTGCAAAATCCGTTAGCATCTGGAGATAAGTCTTGAATCATAGATTGCAAGCTACAAGCTAAGTTTCAGTATCATATCATGTTGTCAGTATTGTAATTAATTTTTTACCTTTGTTCTTTCTCTCATACGCCCAGATGCTGGAAAATCTACTATTGGAGGACAGATATTGTTCCTTAGTGGACAAGTAGATGATCGTACAATCCAGAAGTATGAGAAAGAAGCAAAGGACAAAAGTAGAGAGAGCTGGTTAGTCATGCTTGCATTTATATTTACTTGTCTAAGTTTTTATTTCATCGAGCAACTCTTAAATGAATAGAAAACTTCATGGGATTTTTTTTTGCCTTAATCCAGTCTCGGGAGTCTCTCAGAGTTGTATTTACTATTACACAGTAGATTTCATCACTTTGTTTACTTCAGTTCATCACTTTTGCTAACATGTAGGCATGTATCATAGAGCCCCGGAAATAAAAGTGCTTTACTTAGTTTAATAGGAGTGCAAGTCCTCTTCAATTGCTTCTGATAATTTTTTATTTAAATATCATTGAAGAGAGTTGAGGGACATCCTAGCTTACTGCTATTGCGATTCAAGAGTTTATGCAGTGGTGATTATAAGCTAGCAGCTTTTTCCCCTATTCATACTGGAGGGTTGAAGCCATTACTAATTGTTTTCTGATTTGAAATAATAACAATTTTGATAAATGAAATTTATAAACTATAGTATAAACTATAAATGCCTTATGTTTCATATCGCTAAGAAATCATGTCTGAGACCTTTACCGGCTATGAGGAACATGACTGCATGCTGAACTGGCATTGTGTTCATGTGTTCAAATGCTAGTTGTGCTGTGATTCCTTCTAGTTGAATATGACCTCTGGTCTGATGAACATGAAGTTTCTATTTTCTTTAGTTGGGCCTGGATGCTTAAATGTTGAAATAATTCACATTTTATCATTTTATGTTAATTTACTAAACACCTCTCTTTTTAGCGAACTATTTATTTGAATGTTTGACATTTTTTCTATGGAAGCTTCATAGTTACCCACAATACTGACATTTTTTATTTTGATTTCCGTATTAGGTATATGGCATATATTATGGACACAAATGAAGAAGAGAGGGATAAGGTATTCATTCACATGATAATTTCACATTCAAAAATTATGTTCAACCACAACTATATAGCTTAAAAGTCAATTATGCAATTCCATCATTGCCATCATTAATTCATTATTGACATCTTAATTCCAACTATGTTGTGGCCAAGGGAATTTAGTGTCAACTGTCAATCTATCGTCTAAAATTAGTGAATACTATAATTTAATGCAAATAAACAATAGTGACAATGCTCTTTGAATTTTTTCAAAATGACCATCTTGCCGCAACCTTTTTATGAAGGAATAATGAGATGAAATTCCAAAACCATTATCATCATTGTTTTTTTTCCACTTAGTGGGAAGGATATGATGACTACAATGAGTTGAAAATTGAGGTAGTTTTCATAGTCATATTACAGTATTGATATTATAACTCAAACATGGGCATCATGGCAAGTGAGTTAAATGACCAACTACTTTCAGTATTGATATTAAAATCTTTCTTTCGGTTATTGCAATTTGATACAGGGGATTACTGTTGAAGTTGGAAGAGCGCATTTTGAAACAGAAACTACAAGATTCACTATTTTGGATGCTCCGGTAAACTGCTCAAGCAATGGTTTATATGTTTTACTTTTTCTTTAGGCACATATTTATAGTTAGATAAAATTTTCTTATATTCTATATGTGGTAATAGCCTGTCACACTTACAATATGCTAGTTGTTTCTGGCGTCATTTCCTTTCTTGCTCCACACATTCTAACTTTTCTAATTCCATGTTCTCCAGGGGCACAAGAGCTATGTACCCAATATGATTAGTGGAGCTTCCCAAGCTGATATAGGTGTACTGGTAAGGCTTATTGGTTGCTAGACCTGTAACTCCTGATCATAATGAATAAAGTGTTCTCATTTTCCAGTTTTACCTTAAAATCTGAAAACAATTATTTTGCCTCGCAATCTAGGTGATATCTGCTAGGAAGGGTGAGTTCGAAACTGGATATGAAAGAGGAGGACAAACACGTGAACATGTTCAACTTGCAAAGACTCTTGGTGTCACAAAGCTCCTCATTGTTGTGAATAAAATGGATGAGCCTACTGTCAACTGGTCAAAAGAAAGGTTTTTGCTTGGAGAACATCTTTCAGTGCGCTTCTTGATTTCCCCCCAATTCCTTAGTAGGGTTTTATCTTTTCAGGTATGATGAAATCGAGGGGAAAATGGTACCGTTTTTGAAGTCTTCTGGGTATAATGTGAAGAAAGGTAAGCAGACAAATCCTCTTATGTCCACACTTGTGTTGTCCAGTGTTGCAATGGTGGCATGGTTATCAGTTATCACGGCAGCTAGGTGAGTCGCGGCACCAGCTGACCACCTTATCGCCTAGGCGCCCGATTAGGTGACAACTAGGCAACAAGTCACGTCATATATAATATTTAAGTATAATAAATATATATATTTAAATTTCAATTATAAACTTGTAATTTAAATCAAGTATTTAATACGCAGTACTTTTTTAATAACTCAAAACAAGAGTATAATTTTCATCAATTATATGGCACATAAGTAACAAGTGCACTTCAGAGATTCAATATCCTCTATCATATATATGAACTATACATTAAAGCTGAGCTATTTTAAAGACAGAGTCCAGCTTCATAGTGAAATAGTGTTGATCCATTTCTAAAGTTGGACTCCAGCTGGAACACAAGTACACAACTACTGAATACAGTAATGCATACAAGTATGAGTTGGGAACAGTGTTCTTAAGATTTCAGAAACTAGGAAACTAAACATCAAAGAAAGAAAAAATTTGTACTTGAGAGTGACGAGCTAGTGTAGACGACAGAAGAGTACCAACATTGGTGACTTGCGGCAGCGATTCATGACATATTAAAGGCTATAAGGTTTAGGGTTTCTCTGGCTTGCGCATGTGGGTCTAAAAAACAGTGTTTGGCGTCTCCATGGAGACCGGATGGCACCCAATCATTGCCTAAGGTCGCCTAAGAGACTTCAGACAAGTTGAGAGTATGGCACAACTCCTAGTGAAATGTACATAGCTCATACTTAGGGTCCATTTTGTAGCCTGATCTGAAGTGGATAAAACTTGTATGGTTTAAAATGGTTGTGAATTGTGATTCCTAATTTTCCATTTTTCTTGGGCGTGATTATTATGTTTCAAATTTTGTTGCTATCAAGTGAATAACTTTCTTGATAAATTCCATACTATTATGTTTCCATAGGATCACCAATGCAGAATTCATCACTTTTGTTTCTCCTCTAAATCTAAAGGCTATATTTTCTATTTACAGATGTTCAATTTCTTCCCATATCTGGGATTTTGGGTTTAAATTTGAAAACACGTCTAGATAAAACGACTTGTCCATGGTGGAACGGCCCATGCCTATTTGAAGCTCTTGATGCAGTTGAAGTCCCACCTCGTGATCCTAAAGGTCCTTTCAGGTAACAGCACCCTCATTTGGTCACTTTCATAATTTTTGATTTCAATTAAAATTTTGGAGTGCATGTCTAAAGCCTTTGATTTAGCTTATATGAGTATAGTTATACATGTATTGCGTGTTTAGTTTTACTGGAGTGACCTTTTATATCTTATTTGGTTCCAAGGTCTTTTTACTAACTTTGTATGTATATGCAGAATGCCAATTATTGACAAGTTTAAAGATATGGGAACAGTTGTTATGGGGAAAGTCGAATCTGGGAGTGTACGTGAGGGTGACAGTTTGTTGGTGATGCCCAATAAGGTGTTTTTCAATATACTTCATTTTTTCAAAAAGTTGTTATTATTGATAATTTCAAATTTTAAGATTCATGTAGGATTACCATTCCAAGAGTTGTTCATTCTTTTGTTTTCGCAGGCAGCTGTTAAAGTTCTAGCTGTATTCATTGATGAAGATAAAGTCAGACGAGCAGGGCCTGGAGAAAACTTACGAGTCAGAGTATCTGGGATTGAGGAAGAGGACATCTTGTCAGGCTTTGTTTTATGCAGTGTTGGTAAATACCATTAATTTTTTTTGTACTTATCATAGTTTTCGTTTTTTAGAGTTATATGTCTGTTGTTGGGGTTCTTCAGTTGTGATGCTCATTCTTTGTGGTGTTGGTCATTGGGGAAGAAAACACCTGCCTTGGTAGAATCTAGAGAGCTACTGTGTATGTTGTTTCTGTTTTAACAAATGATCTATTTGCCTTTTTGGATTATATGGATAAGTGCTCGAGGATGATCTGCAGAAAATTGAAAAGTTTAACCAATAGGCAGTGACTATTTTGAATATAATTTACAACATTTCATATTATTTTCCTACTTATAATACATGAAAGATGTAAATGGGAAATATGACAATAATACACCAATATGGAATGAACTATTCAAGTGGAACAGTGTTATTCTTCAGAAAATCTCTGAAGATTTATTTTTTTGTTGCGATAGAAAACTTAAGAGAGGGTTATCGGTTAATATGCCATTATTGTGAAGGCATTAGTGTATCATATTTTTCGTTGTAATTGTACTTGGTTCTATAAAAATAAAATTTTGAAGCATTTGTTATGAAAAGACCAGCTACAAAATCATTAAGATCTTCGATTGAATTCAAGTTTATAGTATATGTATACGTAATGGTGTTTTTGTTCAAATTAAAGTTGTAATATAAGTGTGTAATAGTTCTCTTGATGCAGTAAGGCCAGTACCTGCCGTTACCGAGTTTGTTGCACAGCTGTCAATCCTGGAGTTACTAGATAATGTATGAATTGAAGCTTTCTTAGCATCATCATCATCATCATCATCATCATCATTATTCTTTTATTGGCTTTTTTTAGAGATCAGTTTAATTTGTAGACTGTTTTTTTCAGGCAATTTTTACTGCTGGTTACAAGGCCGTGTTGCACATTCACTCCGTGGTTGAGGAATGTGAAATAGTAGAACTGATGCAGCAGATAGATCCAAAAACAAGGAAACCTATGAAAAAGAAACCACTCTATGTTAAGAATGGTGCTTTTGTTGTGTGTCGTGTTCAGGTTGGCTTCTTAGTAAATTGTCCGAGTGCCTTATTCTTTACCACCCTCCTTGTCTTTGATTATCTTAAGTTCTAACCCCTCTTGCTTTTATTCTCTTCTTATACATTGTTTGTTTGTATTGCGAATCTTTGAGGAGGAATTTGTTATAATATGAATTTGGTGCTTTTACCACCCCAGGTGAATAATCTCATATGCATTGAGAAATTCTCTGATTTTGCCCAACTTGGAAGATTCACTCTTCGAACAGAGGGTTTGCAACTTGTCCTTTCTGTCCCATATAATTTTTTTCTAGATTTTAGACTATTATCTCTGTGCCCATTTCAACTTTTTCAACATTTTTTACCAGGGAAAACGGTTGCTGTTGGTAAAGTGACTGATCTTCTACCATAGGTGAAAGCGCTTCAAATTTCTTGGGATTTCATCATGTATTGCTTATCCCCCATGCAGGCATGTGTTTACCCCATTGCACAAGAGTAAGTTTCATGATTTCGATGTGTGCCATAAAGGATATTACACATGCGAGTTTCTGAAGTCGCATAATGTGATTGTCTGATTTCAAGACAGGGAGCTGTGATTTTGGAGTATACTGATATTTTTAGCGTAGGCAACCCTTAGTACATGCAGGGTTTAAGGGGTTTCGACCTTTACTTGTTGTGGATTGCTGAATGTTTTATAATTGTGTTGCTAAACTTATACAAGTGCCTGAACATGGTGATTGTTCTGTGTGGCTTTTTTTGGACCTTTTACCTACATATGGTATATTTTAATTTTGTTGTGCTTCGTTCCATGTACTTTTGAGTGATTCTCTATAAAAGATTTCCAAGCTTTTTGTGGTGTGAGAATGTCTTTGGATAGAATCATAGAATCGTAGAACTAGAACTAATGTTTACCTAAAGAAGAATTCATATATTTTTTTGGAGTTTTTTCCACTATTAGTCTCCTACTATTGTGTCCTTTTGGTACTCGACTTTAAAATTTTCTATTTTTAATCCTCGACTATGGTGCTAGAGTAGGGATGGACTCGGGCCGGGTGAATATGAATAGTAGTGGACTCGGGCCGGTTCGGGCCCGGTTCGGGCCTGGGCCCGGCCGGGCCTCGGTTCTAGGAAGGCAGGCCCGGAACCGGCCCGGATAACCCCGGGTCCGGTTCGGTTCGGGTCACCCGCCCGGTTCACGGGCCGGGCCGCCCGGCGGGCCAGGCCGGGCCTATTTAATTTTTTTAATTATTATATAATTAGAATAAATCTTATTACAATTACAATATATTATATTCGAATTGAAGTATATTTATTTCAAATAAGAAGTACAATTGAGAATTAGGATGAATTTAATGAGATATGTAGCAATTAACTAATATGAGAAATGTAAAATTGTAGCAATTAACTAATTAACTAATATGAGAAATGTACAAATGTAGCAATTAACTAATACGAGAAATGTAAAAATGTAGCAATTAACTAATGAACTAATATGAGAAATGTAACAATTAAGTAGTTTAACTAATATTAATATGACAAATGAAACATCTAACTTTAACTACTTTAACTAATATTAATATGACAAATGAAACAATTAAGTAATTAAATAGATAAACGAGAAGTGTATATATAAATCAAATGTATAACTATATATAGTATATATAAATATATAATGTGTAAATATATTATAAGTAATATATAATATAATGTATAACTATATATAGTATATATAAATATATAATGTGTAAATATATTATAAGTAATATATAATATAATGTATAACAATATATAGTATATAATATAATGCGTAAAGAATTATAATATGAATGTGTATAAGTATATATTTATAAGTAGATAATTAATATTATAATATATAAGTAGATATAATAATTATATAAATTATATATATGTAGAAAGAATTTGGAGAAGATGAAGAATGAAGATGATTGAATATGAGAGATTAAGAGAATAGAGAATTTAGATTTTAGAGAGTAGGAAGAGTTGTAGAAGAAGAGGTGTAAAAAATGTATAGAAAATAGGAGTATAAATAGGTTTTTCTTTGTATACCCCACCCCACCCCCACCCCACCCCCCTAACCCCCCAGACCCCCCCTCCTATGCTCCCAACGGCTATAGAGCCGTTTGGGAGGTCTCCCAACGGCTAGTAGAGCCTTCAATTTTTTTTTTTTTTTTTTGTGACCGTTGAGGCCCGGCCGAGCCGGTTCACCAAATTATAAGCCCGGGCCCGAACCGCTACATGACCGGGCCGGGTGGCCCGAACCGTGACCTAACCGACAAACCGGGCCGGTCCGGGCCCGCAAAGTAGCGGGCCGGTCCGGTTCCGGGCCGGTTGGCCCGGCCCGAGTCCACCACTAGGCCCGGGCCCGGTTCGGGTCAAAAACTATTTTTTTTTTCAATTTTTTTTAAATTTTTGGGTTGGGCTGGGTATTTTGGGCCATTTGGGGTGGTTTGGGGGTTGGGGGTGGGAGGGGGGTTAATTAGGAAGAGGAAAACAAATATATATATATATATATATATATATATATATATATATATATATATATAATGGGCCCGGCCCGGCCCGGCCCGGACCCGGACCGGACCCGATGGTTACCCGGGCCGGTCCTGGGTCCACCATTTCTGACCCGCCGGCCCGCCCGGGCCTAGGCCCGACCGGGACCCGGCCCGGACCCGAGTCCATCCATAGAAGAAAGTAATTCAATGTATTTGATTTAAACTACATCTGAAGTGAAACCGCATTGGTACTCGAGGCCCATTTACTGTTACATAAAATGTGATTGAAATTATAGCTTAGAGAACATAAATATGCACTCATTGAAAATAAAAGAAACCTGAAAATATAGATAAACTGATAATGCGCAAGATTTTCAACACACGCACATAGGAAACAATTCCATACCCAAATGTCCTATGAATACAACATTCAGATGTCGTTTTTTGTGGATTTGTGCTTCATCATCTTGAGTTGGTGTTTTCTTTTCTTTTTCTGTAAGGAATACAAAATGGTATGAACACATAAAATATCTTATAATAAAAACAAGTAAATATTTAATGCTAGAATAGATTGATATTTGATACATGTTGAAACAATATAGTACTGACTTTTGCCTCAGCAGGTGTTAATTCCATTGAGTGGGGTGTAAACAAAATGAGGAAAGTGAAAGGAAGACACCACATTGTGTGGGATCTTTGTGAAAAATGAAATAAGAAGCGCTTAAGGGTAACAACTTATATCAATGATTCCATTTTTGTAAATAAATACTTTGCCTAGCCAACTAAGTACTCTATATTAAATAAAGGATTGTATCAAAGTTATTTATGGATAATAGATGTGTAGAGAGAATGATTACATTTCCACACCATAGCAATTAACAATGCAGGAAACACTTTGACAAACAAGAGCATAAATATAAATAGATACACAGTTACCAAAGGAACTAATCAACCGCAGACCTTCTGTAGTGCCTTGACTGCCTTCAGACTCAATATACTTCGGAACAGAGTTCTCTTGTGGCTTTATTTCAACTTCTGTAGCAAAAAAAGTTACAACACGCTTAGTGTGGATGGAAAAATAATTTCATTATGATATTTGGAGCAATGCTTCTTCTACAAACCTTTCATCATCTTCTAGAAATCATTAAAGCCAGAAACTATAGACTAGTTTGAAAATATCAATGCAAATACAAAGATTAGACTTTGAAGAGAAGTTGACTGTTAGAGGTATTTGATTGTCTGGGTTCCTCTGGAGGGGAGTGGGGTGTGGCCTATAAGCAAAAGCAAATTATTAAGGACACGTTTACTTCACGGGTTAGTAAACAGTACTTATTAAGACTCGTGTTAATAAGCAGCGCATAAAATAAGCAGTGTTGTAAGCTCATGTTTACTTCAAAGGATTTAAAACACAGTTTAACATTAAAATGTCCAAAATAACCCTATGGATATATACACACACAAACATTAATGAACAAAAGTATATAATATAATATGTGGGGTCATCTCATACGCTTAGTCGCTTACCCACACCCCTAACCCCTACACCGCCCTATACCCCACCCCTCACCCTACCTCCAATTCCACACCCTTGACCCCACCCCTTCCCTACCCCCTACCCTTACCACGAACTTACCCTCCACCCCTACTCCCACCCCAACTCGTAGGGGTAGGGGGGTAAGGTGGGGGTGGGGTATGGTCGGGTCAAGGGTGGGGGTAGAAGTGGGTCGAGGTAGGGGCAGGGGTTAGGGGGGTAAAGGGGTAGGGGTGGTGTCGGGGTCAGGGTCAGGTCAAGGTAGGGGAAGGTGGTTAGGGGTAAAGGGGTAGGGTAAGGGGTGAGGGTGGGGTGGGGTAGGGCACGCGGTGGAGGGTAGGGGGTAGGGGTAAGGTGGGATGGGGTCAAGGGTGGTGGGGGTGGGGGTAGGGGTGGGTCGAGGTAGGGGTAGGGGGTATGGATAAAAGGGGTAGGGTCGGGGTAGGGAAAGGGCGGGGTAGGGGTCGGGGTCAGGTCAAGGTAGGGGAAGGTGGTAGGGGTAAAGGAGTAAGGTAAGGGGTGAGGGTTGGGGTGGGGTATGTCAGGTGGTGGAGGGTAGGGGGTAAGGGTAAGGTGGGGGTGGGGTATGGTCAAGTCAAGGGTGGGGGTAGGGGGCAAAGGGGTAGGGTCGGGGTGGGGTCGGGGTCGGGTCAAGGTAGGGGAAGGTGGTAGTGGGTACAGGGGTAGGGAAGGGGTGAGGGGGTGGGGGTAGGGCAGGTAGTGGAGGGGTCGGGGTAGGATATGGTGGGGGTGGGGTATGGTCGGGTCAAGGGTGGGGGTGGGGATTGGGGGTCAGGGTGGGGTCGGGGTAGTGGTCGGGTCAAGGGTGGGGTGAGGGTAGGGGGTAAAGGGGTAGGGGTGGGGTCGGGGAAGGTGGTAGGGGGTATAGGGCAGGGTAAGGTGTGAGGGGGTGGGGCAGGGCAGGTAGTGGAGGGGTCGGGGTAGTGGTAAGGTGGGGGTGGGGTATGGTCGGGTCAAGGGTGGGGTCGGGGTAAGGTAGGGTAGGGCGGGGTATCGGGTCAAGGGTGGGGTGGGGGTAGTTGGTAAACGGGTAGGGGTGGGTCGGGGTCGGGGTCGGGTCAAGGTAGGGGAAGGTGGTAGGGGGTACAAGGTAAAGGGGTGAGGGGGTGTGGTAGGGCAGGTGGTGGAGGGGTCGGGGTAGGTGGCGGTGGGGGGATGTTCGGGTCAAGGTTGGGGGTCAAGGGTTGGGGTCAAGGGTGGGGTCGGGGTAAGGCAGGGTAGGGCGGGGTAGTTGTGTAGCAATAGGGTAAGGGAAAGGGGTAAAGGTAAGGGTAAATTCGGAAACTGAAAAAGCTTAAAGTGCCACTTAATTAATACATGAGGGGGTGATATGCTTATTAAGCGGCACTTTAAGCACCTCTTTCGGTTAGTAAGCAACGTTTTAAGCAACTTGCGTGTTTACTTCACCTGTCTTACTAACCTAACTGTGACTTTAGCAACGAAGTAAACGCCTCCTAAGTATTTATCTCTTCATTTTTTTCCAAATAACCAAAAGCATCTAATTTGCATGAATGAATATATGACAATCTTGAAAAATTGAATATGGCATATCATATTCAAGTTCCTCTTAGAAGTTGGAGCTTATAAGAACGGAATGCTTAGGAGTTAGCACTTAGCACACTACATCAAGTAGGGAGCTTGCTTTTTTGTTTTTTCTTTATTTAGCAGAAAGTGGAACCAGTTTTTAACTTTTGATCTGACAAAAATCATATTTTCCCTTTATAAGTATCCTAGTCCCCACATCTCTCCAATAGTACCACATACAGAAGACTTTATGAGAGCCATGTCTTGTATTAATATATTTCTATAAAATGCTCACCGAGTGTCACTACTTATTTCTCTCATGAGCTTTTCTGTAACTC